TGTGTGCATGGTGTGTGCGTGTGTGCATGGTGTGTGTGGTGTATAGTATATGCGTCTGTGGTATATATGTGTGTGGGGTGTGGGGTGTGTGTGTGTGTGTGTGTGTGTGTGTGTGTGTGTGTGTAGTCCTGTGCATGTGGTTCATGTGTGGAGGTCGGAAGATGATCTTTAGGAGTTATTCTCTCCTTGTACCGTGGGTTCTGGGAATTGAACCCTGGCCTTTGTCGCAAGTACGTTTACATGCGGAGCCATCTTCCAGGCCTCTGTCTCAGTGGCCTGAGAAGTGTGCATTCTTGAAGCAAAGCCATAGAAGTAGCTTGACTTTGTATTTTTCTTTTCTTACAAAATCTAGTGTGCTTTCTCCTGAAGAAGCTAAACCTTGCTTCTTGGTGTCCTTGAAACCGGGAGCTGTGATGGTTCAGGTCTCCCTTCTTCTCTGGGAAAAATAAACATGAGTTTTCTCCAGACGTGTCCCGAACTTGAGACCTATCTAGTGGCTGAAGTTTACCAAGGATTTATTGAAGCTTCAAGGATTTATTATTCGAGCTTTCTACTTGAAAAGATATATTATTTGTAAATGAAATGGGAAGACCAATTCTCCACAGCAGGCTTTATGTATTCCTGTTGTAAAGTTAATCACCAGGATATTCCTTGAAGCTAGAGAGACCTATAGGACAGCTGGGTCACCACTGGGTGGCAAGTGGACAGGTTGACCCCTCTTCTGAGAACAGTAAAAAAAAAAACTTTGTGGTTTTTTTTTTTTTTTTCTTTGCTTGTTTGCTTTTGGTTTTTGTTTGGTTGGTTTTTTGAGACAGGGTTTCTCTGTATAGTTTTGGCTGTTCTGGAACTCATTCTGTAGACCAGGCTGGCCTTGAACTCACAGAGATCTGTCTGCCTCTGGGATTAAAGGCGTGTGCCACTACCGCCTGGCTAGCTTTGTGTTTTGGTAGCTGCTAAGGTCTTTAGATTCCAGAGTCTCCCATATTGGCCTGGTACACTGCTGGCCACTAGTCTTCAGATAGTTTTGTGTTTTGTGTTGCTGTTAGCCATTAAAGTTATTCTTTAATGTATACAATTATATTGTCTTTTAGTTTTTATTTTTTCTTCTTTGAGACAGGGTTTCTCTGTGTAGCCCTGGCTGTCCTGGAACTCACTCTGTAGACCAGGCTGGCCTAGATCTACTTGCCTCTGCCTCCCACATTTCAGTTCTCAGGGAGAGAAGCAGAGAGGTGTAGTCTCTCCTGGGGATGGTTGACAAGAATTACTGGTCGAATGGTTAACGGTTGTGGGTGTGAAGGAGATGGAATTGTTAGTATTGACTCAAAGGATTTTGGCTGGATCAGCTGGTTGAGTGGAATTGCCTTTTGCCAGGCTAAGGAACAGATTTGCTGGGGGCAAAATGGCTTAGTTAACTTTGGGTTTGCAGGGGGCAAAGTGGCTTAGTTAACTTTGGCTGCATTTTCCAAAAGTAACAGTAACAACAAAATGGCCTCAGGAACAGACATTTCATTTTATTTTTTTCATTAAAAAAAAAGATTCAGGCTAGGCTATGGGTGCTGCTATGGTGATTCCCCGAGGCGGTCAGGGATTCAGGCCATAGGTGCTGTTATGGTGATTCCCTGAGGCGGTCAGGGATTCAGGCTATAGGTGCTGTTATTGGTGATTCCCTGAGGCGGTCAGGGATTCAGGCTATAGGTGCTGTCATGGTGATTCCCCAAGGCTGTCAGGGAGGGATTCAGGTCCCTTCTCGGCAATGAGGAGAGAGATGGAAGGGAGAATGGGCCTTCCCTCCTTTTTAAGGAGCCTGAATATCCATACTCTTACAGTCTCATCTCGTCGGTCAGAGTGGAGTCACTTGGCCATATCTGATAACAAGAGTTTGGAAAATGTCTCTGAGAGGTTGTATGCCTTCCCTTCATAAAGTTGTGACTGTACTGTTTAGGAGAACAAGGGAGAATGAACAGCCGGGTGGGTGGCCAGCCATCCTTCCTAGAATTAAGTCCTGGAAGTGAGTTTTAGTCTCATCTCCGGTTAGCTTTGTGACCTTGAGCTGCGATTCCTACTCCACCAAACCTCCATTTCAACAGCCACATCAAGGAATCGGACTGAAGAATTTGGAAGTTCACTTCTAACTATAACAGTATGAGTTCTTGGGCTTTGCATACAGATGTCAAACACGGAGTTTATGAAAGAGGTAAGAAATGTTGGAGAAACGACTCACGCAAGAACATGCCAATCAAGCCAGCCCTGGTGTGTGCGGTAGTCCCAGTTACAGGAAGGCCATGACAGGAAGGTCAATTGAACTCATGAGTTTAAGGTCACTCTGGGTCACACAGCAAGGGCCTGTTGGGGGTCGGGGGAAAGACAGAAAAAATGTCTTTCAAATGCCTTAAAGCTGATTTTTTTAAAAATAGATTTTATAATTTGTAATCAGACTTACTGATGAATACAGTTTCATTGTCATTTTGAGAATGCTTTGTGAATGCATAGAGGACTAAGATGTGCCTGAAGAAAAGCCTGAGTGCCAGTGCTGTGTGCTCTGCATCAGCCTGAAGCTTGTGGAAGAAGAAAACGAGTAGACGTGAACCATCCGTTCTCCTTGCTCACAGAGGCGCTGTCGCAGCCTCGCTGACCTACTTTTTGACCTCACGAACCAGTTTGCTCTGTACATGCCGAGTTACAGCACCCGTCTTCAAGGGGGCTTTGGTTTCCTGTCAGCAACATGGCAGAGCCACACACAGGTTTGTAACGTGACAGAAAGCAAATGTTCTTCGATGGCTGACGAAGGCAGAGTCCCAGAAAGGGGTAAGGACAGAGGCCATGTGTGTTTAGCTTGGGGATGGAAAAGCCGGCCACATGGACAAGTGGCCGTTAGGCGTCCCGGATGGATGGGGGCGGAGCAGCCGGTCAGGAAGGCATTCTAGGCCAGAGGGTCAGAAGGGTCTGCTTCAGCTGGACACAGGGCATGGTGGGAAGATCACAGTAGTTCAGGATCAAGCGGACCTAGGGCTGAGCCCCGAACCTATTGCTTTCCAGATCTTAAGTTTTTGGAGCTCACATTGTGCCTGTGGTGGGAGGCAACGCACCCTCGTCACCGCGTTGGTGTCTGAATTGAAGGTTACAGTCGTCTGCGGTTGGCTGCGTGAAGGTACCTGCCGCAGGGGTGGTGCTGGGTGCTTCCACGGCCCCCTTCTTTACGGACAGCTTTGATTGACCCTCTTCATTTTTCAAGCTGTCAGAACTTATTGTCTCTGTTGACAGCATCTGATGTGCATTTTGTATTGTCTTCCTCTGTTTGTCCCCTGCATACGGTGACGCGCTGAAAACCAATTAAAACTTCTCTAGGAAAGCAGTAGCATGTAATGAGCTCAGGAAGGGATCTGACTTAGGAGCCTGTTGGCTGTGACATCTTCTTTGCTTCTGGAAACCACTGTTAGGGCTGAACAATGCCTTGGGCCACCCAGGGAATGTTCCAAACTCTCAAACTTCTGGTTCCCCAGGCCCCCAGCCTCTCTTCCTCAGCCCCCCCGTCCAGCGTGTCAAGTTCACATCTTACACACTGCCGCGTCACACACATTCCAGACCACCTCCCATGCCCACAGCTCCTGGTGCCCAGGCCAGGCTCCTCAGCACCTCTCTCTGGCCTTCTGCCTACTCTTCCCACAGCCGCTCTTGCCTCTTTCTCTTGCCATTTCCTACCCGACAGCTGGGCTACTATTTTCAGAACAGATCTGATGGTGTCTGTCTCCAGCCTAGTCTTTCTTGCCTTTAGGACCTGGCCTGCCCCCTCCCCCAGTGTCATCTGGTGGCCTGCTGGCCTCACTCTGTCCTTCCACTCACACTGCTCCGCCTCTCCTGCCTGGAAGGGATCTGATTCCCTGAGCTGCAGGGCCTGTGGACACATTTTCTATCTAGATGGAAAGCTCCACGGCCCATGGCTCTTTATCCTCGGAGGTTCTAGTTTCGCCCTCACGTTTATGGAGAAAGTCTCCCTTTGGCCTTTAGATGGGGTTTCCCTCCAACTCCTATCTTCTCGGCATGGGCCGTTTCTCCCCCAGGTCTTACAGTGATTATGCATCCGTCTGTATGACTAGCTGAGTATTTGTGTCCACCCTCAGCTGGAAGCACTGTCAATCTCTGGACCCAGGATGGTGCTTGGAGCATTGTAGGTGTGCAGCAAAGGCTGTCAACACTGCTGTCTTCCTCCGTCACCCTCCACTGTATTCTCCGCGACAGGCTCTCATTAAACCTGGAGCTTACTAATTAGCTGGACTCCTGGGTAATCAAGCCCCTGGCTTCCTCCCGTCTCTCCTCTCGGCACGGGAATGACAGGTGTGTGTAATGCCCAGCTTCTGTGGGTTCTGTGGGTCAGAACTCACGTCCTTACAAAGTGTGGCAAGCACTCTTCCCACTCCCCTCCCAGTCCGAGGAGGCGTCTTACTTCTGAGATCCCATGGGATGTTCTGCAGAGACGTTCACGTATGCCACCTGTCAAGAGAGACTTTGACTTTTCTTCCTTTCCAGCTTGTGTGCTTCTTATACTTTCCCTTGCTTTCCTGGGCCTGCTAGGACATCCAGGGTGCTGCTGGAGAGGAATGATGAGGGTCGACACCCTTGCCTGTTCCTGATCTTAGGGGAAAGCACAGTCTTCACACTAAGTGCTGTGTACATGTGTGATGTTGGCTGTAGGTTCTGGGTTTTTTGTTGTTTAATCAGAAATTTCCCTTCTAGTCCTAAAGTAGTTTGTAGTCTCTTATCATGTATACATGCTTATCTAAAACATCCTTAGTAGCCGTTTGTAACAGTGATTTATAAAGAGATGTTCCAAGTTGTTTTCTTCTCTCTCTCTCTCTCTCTCTCTCTCTCTCTCTCTCTGTGTGTGTGTGTGTGTGTTACAGGTCAATATCATTGTCTTTCTCTGTTGCTCTCCACTTTATCTTTTGAGACTAGGCAGCTCACTGAAGCTAGAACTCACTGATTGGCTGGACTGGCTGGCCAGTAAACCTCCCCCTCCCTGCCCCTGGGAGTCTCCTGGCCCAGCCTAGCATTGAGAGTACAGACCCATACTGCCATGTCCAGGTTTTTAATTGGATGCTCGGGGTCCAGACTCTTGGCCTCACACGTGTACAGCAGGCATGTTACCCACTGAGTCATCTTCCTTGTCCTGTATTTTATTTTTAAAAGCATCTTTGGTGCTGGGGAGATGGTTCAGTGGGCAAAGCATATGCAATGCAAGCTTGATGACCTCAGTTCAAACACCCAGAACCCATGAGAAAGCCGGACACAGTAGCGGAAGTGTGTCCCTATGGGCAGAGACAAGAGTCACTAGAAGTGTGGGCACTTGGGCACACAGCATCTTTGTTAGATGGATGCTAGAATGGCAGCCGTGGGGTGATTTATTAATTTTTTATTATTAACTTTATTAATACTAACCATCTCTCATTTTCTGGCTTGTTTTATTTCCTGCCTTTGCATGAAGTCTCTGGCAGCCCTGTTGGGTCAGGCATTGCCATCCTCATTTGGCAGAGGTAGCATTCAGGAACCAGAGATGGGCTTGTTCATGTCCCCCATCTGGATGGCATCATGGCCACAGCCATTATAGAAGCCTTGCTCTAGGCCATTCCCAGCAAATGCCCACAGTGTAGTGATGGAAGCCCTGGCTTTGGACTCAGGCACACTTTGTTCTTATTAACTTTAAAAAAGTTGGTTTAATGCAATGACATTTGCATAACGTAAAATTAACTGTCTAAAAGTGGGCAGTTCAGTGGCATTTAATATATTCCTGGTGTTGTAAAATGTCACCTTTATCTAGTTCCAGATTTTTTTTCAGGACCCAAAAGAAACCCATGCCCAGTAAACAGACTCCCGACCCCAACTCCTTGCCCCTGACAATCACCCTTCTGATTTTTGTCTCCATAAAGAACCTACTGATTATTTCATGTAAGTGGAACTACATAATTTAAGACCTTTTATGTCTAGCTTATTACACTTAGCGTGTTTTGGGGGCTCATTCACAATATGGAATAGATCCATGTGTCTTTCCTCTGGGAAGTGAATTACACCCCACTGATGTAACAGTTTATCAGAACATCTGTTAATGAACATTTAGGTGGTTCCTACCTTTTGGCTATTGTGAAGTGAGCTGCAATGTGCACACTTGTACATGTATTTATGTTTTCAGTTCTTTCAGGTTTATATCTAGAATTGGAGTTACTGGATTACACGATAATTCTGTTAAGTCTTTGAAGGACTGCCAAACTGTTCTCCATTGTGTCTGGGCCATTTTACATTTTCACCACCAATGGATGAGGGTTCCCAGATCTCCACGCCCTCCATCCTCCCCATCTCCCCTCTGCAGCCATTTTATCAGATTTAGAGTGATGTTCCACTAAGATTTTACATTTTCCTAATGACCAATGATGCTGGGTATCTTTTAACATCTTTGTTAGTCTTCTTGATGAAATGTTAATTCAGATCCTTTGCTTGCCCCCTTTTCAGTCCCAAAGACTGAGAACATGGCTTTGTGTGCTAGGCAAGCTCTCTACAATTGAGCTACATTCCCAGCCAAACTTCTTTTCACTTTTTATTGTCAAACAGGGTCTCACGAAGCCACACAAGCTGGCCTTGAACTTACTCTGTATTCTTCTGTATCTGCTTTCCAAGTACCTGAGATCATAGGTCTGCACAGCAGGTTCAGCCTTTGCCCATTTTTAAAAACTGGATGGAATTTGGGCTTAAGATTTTTTTCTTTGCAGGGGAGGTTTGTTTGGAATAGGGTCTTAAAATGTAGCTCAGGCTTGTCTCAAATTCCTGGTCTTTTTGCCTTAGCCTTCCAGGGGCTAGGATTAAAGGCCTGTGCCAACACAGCCACCTCTATAAAATTCTGCTTTTCTTTCTCTCTTCTGTCTCCTCTCTCCTCCCTCCCTCCCTCCCTCCCTCCCTCTCTCTCTCTCTCTCTCTCTCCAGACTTTCACTGTTGCCCAGGCTGGCCTTGAACTCTGGAACTCAAACAGTTCTCTTGCCACAGCCATGCACTGCAGCACCTAGCTGAGGCATCTTTTCACTGTCCTCTGATGCAGAAATGTCTTCATTTTGGATGAAGTCAAGTTTATCTAGTTTTTCAGCCGTTGCTCATGTTTTTAGAGCCACATAAAGATGCACTGTTAACTGCAGAGTAAAGACTTATCCCTGTGTTTCCTGGTTTTCATTTAGGTTGCTGGTCCGTCCTAATTTACTGCTTGTAGATGGTGAGATAGGGGTCCACTCTTCTGCCTGTGGCTACCCTAACAGCATTTGCTGAAGACAGTACTCTCTCTTCAGTGAGTGGTTATGGCACGCTTCCTGAAATTCAGCTGGCCACAGAGTCAGTCACTCTGAACTACGAGAACTTTGATAAATTTCTTAACCTTGAGCTTTTATTTCCTTACCTATAAAACAAGAATGACAGCCTCTTGTCTCAGAGGCTTTGTCAGGACGGCATGAGACCAGACATAGGGCACGAACAGTGCCAACAGTGGAGGCAGAGTAGGCAGCGGGGCATCCATCACCTCTCCTTCCTGAAGCTCCAGGGCACAGGAGACTTTGGACATAGAACTGTCCACTCTGTCCCATCCGTCTTCTGAATGCCAGCTTGCCCTCCTGGACGAACACTGTGAGGGGACAGCTCTTCTAGGGAGAGAAGTCCTTACCTAGAAATGCAGGCACAAGTGAAATAGTCGTCTGTCTCTAATAACCCAGCTGCTCCATGTGCACTCTGTGCGTGGAATTCTTCTCGTTTTCGGGGATAGACAGGCTGAAGACTACCTCTGCCTCTGAGGACTCTTCGATTGCAAGAGAAACAGATAAAACAGTGTGATAAGTTCTCAGACAGATTCAAGCAAAGGGCTCTGAGTGTGTGCGAGGACCTGAGAAAAGCTTGTAGAGGAAAAAGAGCTGAACTGGGTATTAAATGACTCGTGGGTAGAAATGTGTAGTGTGGGTAAGAGCGAACTGTGTTAGCATGGGAAACAAAACCCACAGCCATAAAGGCATCCATAGACGCTCTGGGCTCTAGATGAAAACTCTCCTACGCAGGCAGGACTAAGGGTTAAACAGTGTTCTGATTAAAGACCATCGAGCTGGCTCAGCGGGTAAAGGTGCCAGCTGCAGAGCCGGATGACTTCCACATGGTGGAAAGGGAACTGAATCCCACAGGTTGTCCTCTGACCTCCATATGTTTTAAATATGATTTTTATGGGTAGGGAGGTGACTTAGTGGATACTTGCATGCAGGTCTGACGATCTGTCCCGAGTTCAGTCCCACAAGGTGGCAGAAAAGGAGGGACTCCCAGGAGTTGCCTTCTGACCTCCACACACGTGCCATAGGCATGTACACCTGAGTGCATACACACTCGCACAGGTACACTCTCATGTGCGCACACACACAGACATGCACACACTAATTTTTTCTAAGCCTTGATTTTGGGGTTGGAGAGATGGCTCAGTGGTTAAGAGCACTGACTGCTCTTACAGAGGATCTGGGTTCAGTTCCCAGTACCCACATGATGGTTCCCGACCATTTGTTAACTCCAGTTTTAGGAGATCTGAGATTCTTTTCTGACTTCTGTGGGCACCAGGCATGCACGTGGTACACAGACATATACTTGCGAGCAAAGCCCTCATACCCATGCAATGAGTAAATCAATCTTCAAAAACAACAACAACAAAACCCTGAATTTATAAGGCCATTGGAAAATGTTGGTGAGGTTTAAACTGAGGAAGTACCACGGCCAGATCAGTATTTCAGGCTGACAGGGAAACCACTGTGGAAGATGGCTTATGTGGAGGAGGAGGAGGAGGAGGAGGAGGAGGAAGAGGAGGAAGAGGAAGAGGAGGGAGGCACCCACCGAGAACAGGAAAAAATATAGCAAGGATGGGGAGGGGGGCTGTCAGGGCCTGGGATGATGCTCAGGTTTCTTGTTTGGGGACTTGACAAGGGCCGTTCATCCGGTGGGGGGTACCATAGCAAAGGGCAAACAGGAGTAGGAAAGTGGTATTTGCTTTGGCAGACGGATCCAGATGGGTATGTCCAGCAGACAGATTGCGTAGGGGCCGGGCACGTGACCTCAGTTAGTGTGGAAGGTGCATACGCCCGCAGTCGTGTGACTCTTTCCCAGGTGAAATGGGGTCCCAAGTTGAAAGCGTTAAGAAGCTCTGGTCTATCTTGCTGAAGTGGGTAGTAGGTTTTGGTTTTGCTCTTGTTTTGGTCTCTCTGATTAAAAAATATTAATGAGTGTCAATGCCACAAGTATGAAGAAAAAACATTAAGACCCCACAATCAGTTAACCCTTGTAGAAAGGTAAGAGGAGACAGTGCACCTTGTGAGAAAATACCAATGTTTAGAGAAGTATAAAAATGAAAAGTGCAGGCTTCCTGTGTCTTCCAACCCTTCGTCACTGCTAACAGGCCCTTTGATTCCCTCCCAGGAAAAGTGTGCAGAAGCCTACCAGACCTGCACATCCGCAAAAAGCCCTGCCACAGGCAATGTTTGAGAAGTCCGTTGAACTGGGAGCTCAGTCAGCCCGCTGCTTTGCCTGACTACCTGCTGTGGCAGATCTGTGAGCACTTGAAAGGTCCCTAGCTTCAAATCCAAGGGCTAGTCCAAGGTGGGGATGCAGTAAAGCGTAAGTAAACAGCTGTCGCTGTGTTGGGAAATTCGGAGAGCTTTTGCCTGCTTGTCCAGTCGGTTAAGTGACTCATCTGGTAAACGTTTTCAGTCTGAACTAAATGTGCAGTGCCGTGTGTGTGTGTGTGTGTGTGTGTGTATGTGTAATGGGTGGTGTGTGTGAGGGAGTAGAGTGCTCACCTCCTGGCCTCACCTTCCAGTTTTCCGGCTTTTTGAGGGATAAACTAAGTAGTGCTATTTGTCTAAAGCCACATGCATGCCTCTTGGCCAGAGCCAGGTCCTACACTTCAGAAGTGGGGTGTGTGGGGGAGGGGGAGGCTCAAGTACTGGGTGGCCAGTTGGTGAGCTAGTCTTCCTCGGTTCTACTCTTTTCCACCCTCTCTTAAAAGTGACAGTCCCCAACGACAAGTTCCCAGGAAGAGGCAAGACCTCTGAGGTGCCCGTGGGTCCCTGGGCCAGCCAGCGCATTACCTGCAGTGGGCTGACACCTGCCCTTGGTAATGTGAATGGTAAAAACCATTGGTGTGGGAGTCGGGAAGCCTGCTCAGCCACACCCTACCCTGTTGCGGCTGGCCATGAATGTGGGGGTGGGTTTAAATACAACATCAGGGTACTTTCAATTACCGAAACTGTTTGTAAGTTTTAAAATAAGGTATTGGAAATTAGATTTTACTATTTTGTGACTGGAAAATCTTGTTTTACCAAGATTCTGAGACTGTTGCTTCTTCCTATGTTTAGAATCCCAGTCTAGGAACCTGGCCCGCCGGAGGAGCACCACACATTTCCCGGTTTAAGACTAAGGCCAGAGACCATTCCCAAACAGTTTAAAAGCCAGGCAAGACCCTCTGGGCAGACTGTTGTCATCAGTACAGGGGGGTAGGTGTTGACAGTATGCAGATACATTTTGATCCAGGGCTTCCCTGGATCCTCAGTAAGCCCCAGAAGCTCGATCAGACCTGAGCGAACTCCCCCGTTTTGCACGGCTTATGAGAGCTGACTGCTGCTTCCAGTCACTATGGAGCCTCCCTCTTACACACTGAGCAGGGGGTCCCTTGAGACCCTGGTGCCTGGATGAGGGAGGGAGGACGAAGCAAGGCACGGGTACAGAGGAACTCTGAGATCCACTCTCCCCCGATGGCTCCTTTCTAGAGAACATCACAGAAGTAAAATCGTGAGAAAGCGGGCTGAGGCCTGGGTTCGGATCCCAGCTTTCCTATCGACTTGCCGTGAAATCATCTGTGCGACGTCTTCGAGTGAGCCGGCTGGAGTCTTCAAAAACCAAACAAAACAACTTGTCGAGCACTTTTGCATCTGTTGCCTCCGCTTTAGCAGGTACTGCCATTCCCATTTGCCGGGGAGAAGCAGGATCCCGCCCGGCGGGAGACGAAGCCGGGTTGCGCTGGCTCTGCCTTCGGGCCCTCGCCCTCCTCCTCCCGGCGCCGCAAGGTCCGGCAGAGTCCCGGCAGCCGGCGTGCAGGGCTCCGGGCCGGG